TTGTCATATCTGAGAATTTTTAATCCTAAAATTTTCCAGCCCATATAGGACTCAAAAAAAAAAAAAAAAAGAAAAAAGAAAAACCATGTATTTTTACTAGTGTGTATGGTGGTTTTTTTTTTTACTTTTTCTACCCTTTTTTTTTTTTTTTGCTATAGGGCATGCACTCACCAGAAAGCAAGAAATCACCCCCCAGGGGTGATGGTCACGCCGCAATCCCTTCTCCTCCATTATCCTCTCGGGATCTTGGGCACGCACACACACACGCCCGGCGTGAGTTTAAGCCACTGGGTCCGAGACTCGAACTGTGGTCAACTACGTGGGAGTCCAGCAACATAGCCATTACGCTAACTGCTGGTCCCTACACTGTTTTTTAAACTAAACATTTGAAGAATTTTGCTTATGGGAGCTGTATGAGAAAAATACACACACATACATATATCATTGCAATTAAATATCAGCTGGTTAAATTTTATTTTTAAAAATGTGCTTAAATTTCCTCCCCATTTGTTCTCTGCTTGATTTATCTGTAGTCTTGTGTTTAAGGTTGCTGTAAGGCAATATTTTCTTAATGAGAGATTTGATTTTTAAGCTGTGTTAGTCTAGTTAACAGTAGAACTTTAAAAACAAAAACCAGGGACAGGCAGGTGGCATGGTGGTTAAGGTGCTGGACTCCCACATGGCAGGTCTTGGTTCAAGTCTCTCACTTTCCCTTTCTCTCTCTGTCTCCCTCTGGTCAAATTAAAAAGTAAATATTAATAACAAACAAATAAATAAATCTTTAAAAACAAACAAAAACCAAGGACCAGAAAATGGCATAATTGACCCACATAGTTGACCATGATTTGAATCTTGAACTGGCAACCTCGAACTCACTCAGGCTCATTATATGCGCTTGCCCAAAATCTCAAGAGGAGAAGGAATTGTGATGTGGCTATTCCCTCTGGGGGTTGATTTTTTTTTGCTTTCTATCTTCCTGTCTCTGTTTCTAGTAAAATTCTCTCTAAAAAGAGTAATTGCCTTACATTTATTTTAGAGAATAATTTTTACCATCCCCTCTAATATTTTTATTTATATAACTAGTATCTTGTAATTTTTATTAATATTAAATATTTATAAATATGATTAAGGAAATGAGTATATCATATAGGCTTCAAGATGAAATAATTCACAGTATAGTTCTACAGTAATTTTAACCAGTACTTATTTAGTAAGTATATACATGGGGAACTTCTATGAGAAACTATTAGTCACCATAAGGTATTCAGTGGAGCATTAAAGATAGACATTGATGTCGATTATATCTGCTTGCAAATCTGACCTCTGCTGCTTAATAGCACTGTCACCCTGATGAATAAGTTAAGTCTCTCTGCACCTTACTTTTCTCACTTAGAAAAATGACAGTTGGAATACTTGTTACATGAGATCTATGAGGAGTCATTGAGCTTATACTTGTAAAGTTCTTAGCACAAATGTTCATTTTCCTTCCTAGGAAAATATAGAAAGGAATATGAAATTACCTTTGTTTTTATAGAGGTGTACAGTCTATTGAGACTTGAGCAGTTTCAAAGTGGAGTTAATTGTTATAATAATGTGTAAAACTGGGTAGGAGATCAGGTAAAGAAAGATAAGAACCTAGATAATAGGTTTCTCTTCTGATATTAATGAAAGCTTATGAAAAATTTATTTAGTAGTATTCTGGAATCTGACCTCTGCTGCTTAATAGCACTGTCACCCTGATGAATAAGTTAAGTCTCTCTGCACCTTACTTTTCTCACTTAGAAAAATGACAGTTGGAATACTTGTTACATGAGATCTATGAGGAGTCATTGAGCTTATACTTGTAAAGTTCTTAGCACAAATGTTCATTTTCCTTCCTAGGAAAATATAGAAAGGAATATGAAATTACCTTTGTTTTTATAGAGGTGTACAGTCTATTGAGACTTGTGAGCAGTTTCAAAGTGGAGTTAATTGTTATAATAATGTGTAAAACTGGGTAGGAGATCAGGTAAAGAAAGATAAGAACCTAGATAATAGGTTTCTCTTCTGATATTAATGAAAGCTTATGAAAAATTTATTTAGTAGTATTCTGGAAAACCAAATATAATGGCTGGGTAAGAGGTTTCCACCATCCCTATCTATCTTTCCAGCACAGTAGGGAAATGTGAGGATATTTTATTATTTTTAAATGTAGCCATTAGCTGAAGTTCTGTTCAGTTTAGTGACTCTGAAATGCAAGCCATTATAAAATTGCTTCTGTTTGGGGCCAGCAGATGGCGTGGTGGTTAAGACACTGGATTCCCACATGACTGACCATGGTTTGAGCCCAGGACCTGGCAGCTTTAAAATCACACCAGGCACCATGTACACATGTGTGTCCAAAATCCTGAGAGGAGAAGGGACTGCAGTGTGGCCATCCCCCTTGGGGGATGATTTCTTACTTTCCCTTTCTCTGTTTCTCTCTGGTGAGCACACATGCCCTATGGCAAAAACCTAAAGGGGGGCGGGGGAAGGTCTCAGTGTGATTTACTGGTTTGGTTTTAGTGTATTTTTAGAAGAGCGATTGCTCTTCTCCAGCTACCACTGCTATAACAGTTCACAGAAATAGAGATGATTACTGTAATAATAAAGTTGTCCACTGGAGAGTAAGAGGCACTTTATCCCCATGTTGACTCAGACACACCAAATATAACAAATTTTGGTCCTGCCTTATCAATAAGTCCAGCTCCAAGTAGAATTATACTATTTAGTCTGTGTCAGTGATTCTCAACCCTGGATATATCAGAATTACTTGTCAGACTTTTTAAAAGTAACCCAGATATACTTAAATCTGCATATCTTGAAATGGAATTTTGTCGTTTATGTGATTTTAAAAGCTCTACGTATGATCCTGATGTGAAATAGAGTTTTATGTGAAGTCAACTGCTCATTTTCAGCGGTCCTACAAAAAAAATTTTTTTTAAGTAATTTTTTGTTGTTTTTGTTTAGGATTTTTTTGGAGTAAGGGGCAGTCTTAGGATCCTCCATTAAAAGGTCTCTATGATATGTCATAAAGTATAAAGTTTCCTTTTGGAAAACCTGATTAAAAACAAGGTTTATGATTAGTGTAGACTTATCTCATTGAAATAAGAAACTTTAGGGAAATGTCAAGTTTTTATTTTAGTACAGAGGAAAGGTAATGGGGAAAATAGAAGAAAAGTCTTAACACGTCTTATTGTGTTCTCTTTGCAAATAAAATTTGCAAATTAAAAAGTTAATTTGACAGTTAATGTTCTTGTTGAAAAATTCCAATAAAGCATTTAAAACTCCACTAGCCATTTTCATTATATTGCTATATCCTTTCTTTTCAAACATTTTATATATCTCAAAATGAACAGTGCATGTATAAAATCTAAAATACACAGGCACATAGTATTGTCTCCTGCTTTTTGCCATGAGAAAACTTTTTTCTTTTAAAGCATTCAGTTGCTCTCATTTTACTATTAAACATTGCAGTTTATTTAATAGTTTCCAAAGATGGTTAAGAGTTTGTGTCAGATCATCTACATTGGTAACCTTTTTTCTATTTTATTTTCCCATTTTACGATGAAAATGTCCAAACATGAGAGAAAAATTTAAATGATGTACTTTTATACTTTCTCTCCAGATTCAATAATTAACATTTTGCCAGTTATTTTTTACGTGTGTGTGTATCTATGTGCTATTTTTTCTATTTTTGACTGGTCACTTTTAAAGCAAATTTCAGACACAATAATATTTTTACCTCCAAACATTTCAGCATGCAGCCCTTAAAAATGAAGACATTTTTCCATATAACTATAATGCCATTATACTGAAGAAAATGACTGATAGGAGTTTAAATTTTTAGTTGTCCCTAGAATAACTGTCTCAATTGTTATTTTGAATCATGGTCTGATCAGGTTAAGTCTACAGTGAAGCACATTAAACAAGTCTTTAATGAAGCCCTCTCCCTTTTTTATTTGACACTGAAGAATCTGAACCAGTTATTTATAGGATGTGTCCTACATTCTGGATTCACATGATTTTTCCTCATGGTGTCCTTTGACTCAATCTTTTATTCCCTGGTTTGTTTTTTTGTTTTGTTTTGTTTTTTGTTTGTTTTGTTTTTGTAAACTGGAACTTAATTTTATTAAATTAAAATTAAACATTTTTGGCAAGAATACAGGGTAGGACTATACCTCATAAGGCATTACATCAGGAGGCACGTAATGTCAGGAACAATGTCTTGATTTTAATCTGTCAGGTTAACTATGGGCAACTTGGATGATTAGAGCTTACTTTGCTAACCAGTTTAATTATTACTGGCTGCTATTTTAGAAACATGTAGATTTTCTAAAATATAGTAAAATATAAACAGGTTAATTAATTTATGACTTCTATCTTACAATATTTAAGATAATTTGTCTATTTTTACCTAGAGATGTTTTTATTAAAATATTTAAAGGCAAAAGAAATAATTTTTTATACATGAAAGCTTTAAAATCTTCCAAAAATCCAGTTTAGACATATGCAGTTTTATGTTTTGTATCTTCTCTCCTACTTAACATTTAGTAGAAATGAAAAAACTAATGTTCCATGGCTTGCTTCTCTGTCATCTTCCTATCGCTTTACGTACTAATTTCCTTTTGTACTAAATCATTATAGTGAATTCCTGTTTTTTTAAAGTAAGTCAGTTTTAGAAAATGTTTGTGTTGCTGTTGAACTCTAAAAGCAGAGTAAATTTAAGATTAAACTTCAAATGTGAAATAGGACATAAACTAGTTGATGATAACTTGCTATAAGTAACTTTTGAACTATTAAAATCAAAAGTTTTTATTAATTGACACAGGTAAGAATTGATACTTATTTAATATAATGTTCTCTTGCATAGCCTATATTACTCATGGTAGAGAAATTAGTGTTTTGCTGTAATATGTTATGAAATACATGTGATATCCTAGTTTGTCTACTGACACTGGGGTCTTGAATCTTAAAAAAAGGCCTCCGATGAAGCAGAGGAAAGTGGATCACAGGGAAAATTGGTGGAAGCGCTCAGGCAAATGAGAATTAATCATAGGGGAAACTACCGACAACTTCTGGAGGAGATGCTGACTAGTTACAGGCTAGCTAAAGTAGAGGGAGAAGAAAGCCCTGCAGACCCAGCTGCTCCAGCTACTTCTTCGAACAGTGATGCTGGAAACCCAGTGACAATGCAGGAAAGCCATACTGAATCAGAAAGTGGTCTTGCTGAATTAGACAGCTCTCATGAAGATGCAGGGACAAAGATGAGTGATGAAAAAATATGACTTTCCTTTTTGGTAATATTTTTGTGATCTTTGATTTGATGGTTTTTACTTAGGAAGTATAATGTATGCATTTATATAACCGTTTTGTTATTTAAATCTTGGAAAGCTAGTTTTATTATATTCACATAGCCTTGTTTTTTTTTTTTGAAAAGGCCTTTGCATACACCTTTATGAGATAGTTTAAAATTTACTACTTATAGTACTTTGAATTTAATGAAATTATATGTCATTTCATATTGTATGCCAGAAATTAGGCTACCACTTATTAAAGTCAGTAGTTAAATACGTACTAGACAGGATTAGAGATTATTGACTAGAGGGATTATATTCTATTGTGGAAAAACTTGTTAATGTAGCATTATACTGCTTCATATTATTTTATATATTAGTACATTCATAGTTAGCTTTGTAATAAATTTGTGTTTTCTTTAATAATTTTAGTTCTTCAAAGAATGGCTGATGCTGGCTGTAATTTTTCTTTCAAAGATAATTTGTGTGTTGTTTGATTTGTTTATATTTTACATCTCTGTAGTTTTGTTTTTAGAAGTTGTGAGATATTGGATGTGTGGTTTTTTCCTTTCTCTGTATTCTTTATCAAACATGATTTTTGAAAATCCTATGTATTAGTCATACATCTTTGGTTTGTATCTTCTGTATAGCCTAACTACACACATCAAAATGTATGTCAACCAAGTGTTTAGAATGAAATTATAAGTGTTTAAGTCCAAATAAAGCATGTGATGTGGAATAATCTATGCATGTTGTACTTATTTTTTTAATTATTTTTTTAAACAACCAGGTTCGGTTTATTGGAAAAATACCCATTTGAAATTTATGTGTATTTGTTTAAAATTCAACACACTGAAATTTGGCTTAGTTTTTTTTTTTTTTTTTCAATTAGCAAAATGGGAAAAAATTTCAATATAAAAATACATAAATATTTTCTACTCCAAGTAAATCTGTTTCTTATCCCCCTTTTGTGTGGTACAAAGCATTAATCTTTGGAAAGTATGGGCATACATAGACTTGAGAAAATTGCCACATCAAGCACTTTAAAGGGTTGTAGCATTGTTGATTCTATTACAAGTATTCATCAGTTCTTTGTAAATCTAAGAATTATGGGCTATTTTTAAAATAGTAGCATATATGAATTTAGTTTTTAATATAAGGGATTTTTAAATTATAGATTGCTGTTAGTCACGTGGGAGGTTATTTTTTAAAACAACTATTTTGTGACTGTAGAACATTAACTTTACTTTTTCATGTTTATGTTTTATATCATGTGTCTGTAGTTGTTTAAGGTACCATGTAAGTAGAAATTTGGAATCTTCAGATTTTGTAGCTGATGTTTTGATCTATTTTTCCAATGCCAGAATATTTTTAAGTGGTTTGAGAAAGAGGAAAGCTTTTGGTGGAGAGGGGAAGAAAAGAACAACCACTTTTCTATCTGGGTTAGATAGATACATGTGTACACACACAATAGATAGTACACACACCTCTCTGTAAAAGTGCCTTTTCAGACAAAGAAAGGAAGGTAATTTGTTCATCTAATTTTGTCTTCTTTTGAAATTCAATCCACCCTGGAGGTGGTATAGGTAAATAATAATAATATTCTTCCTTTTCTTTTCCTGTAGGGTGCTGGAGATCTAGAAGACCCATGGTAGCCTTATAAACCTTCTAAAATGCTTTTGATTCTGAAAATTGGGGGAAAAAACTTTTAATCACAATTTTCTTCAATACAAGGGAAAATATTCTTGTGGATTCCCAACGTTTTGTGATACAAGCAGAAAATCATTAGCATTTCCCATCATTTGTTCATATTTGTGTTTTCTGATAATTGCCACTCGTAGCATTGCCTGTACTACAGTATTTTTTGCCAACCTCAGGCATACTGGTTACATCTGTGTTGAACTTTTGGCCCTAGAAACCAGCAGAGTAATTTCACCACAAATCAATAAATGTGTCTGAGGTGCATGGGAATATAGTTAGCTATAATCTGAAGATACATTATGTTTTTTTTCTTTTTTTAAAAAAAGAACATAACATATAAGCATGTAAGAGTAAAGAATTGTATGAGATGTTCCTTTTTTTCAATTCACCAAGTTGGAAGCCTTTTGCAGCTCTGTGGCTTGGAATTTTATTTGAGCAATTTACTATAGGATATATATTTATTAATTGTTATTTAATTTTTTCCAATTTTATCTGTATTACCAAACTGGGTTCTCCAATAATGTCCAAATTGTAATGTTGCCTTGCTTTAGGATAAAGTGTATTTGGCAATAATATTATAAACCCTTACAAATTTTATGCATGTATCTACTACATCCTTCAACTCTCACTAGAAAAATCTTTTGAAACGAAATGGTTTAATTTATGGCTATTTATAATTTGCTTTGACATCTCACTGCTGCAAATTTTTTTAAATGATGAGATTTGCCTTTATAATGTAAATTGTGATTTTTGTTTTACATGTGGATTTCTATCATTTTAATTTTTCAGCTTTTAAAATACTACAAGTTTTGTGTAATTTGGTATAATTTTTAATTGTTTATGTTATTTTAAAAGCTCAGAATATTACATTAAAATGACTATAAATACATTTAAATTATCTATTTTAGATCTAAGGAAATATTACAGAGATATTTTCATGGGTTCAGTAACCTTTCATTTTATAACATTGGGCACGGTACAGAGTGGCTGTCACATAAGGTACTTGAAGATTATTAGTTTTATTCTATTTTTACAATAACCTTGAATTCTTGAATTCTCTTTGAGTTTTGCATGTATTTTATCCAATTAATGCTGAACATGAAGAGTATTTATCTAAAGAAGTTATTGGGGTAGGAGAAGTAATGAATGTATCCATTTTGTACATGGTTTACATGTTGTGGATGCTTTGTAAACATTTCCGTATCTGTTTAAATTGTGTTACAGCAGGATGTAATTGCCCTTGTGTGTAGTTAAAATGAGTCATCATCTGGTCTTGTGTGAAATGGAATTCATGGTATTTTCTGTAACATTTTCCTGAAGCTGTTTCTGGAGAGCCACACATATGAATACAGACAGCTATCCTTATCATTTGATTTATTGTGCACCTGATTTTTTGGCCTAAAAGGAATTATTGCCACAATATATTTTATTTATTATTTAGATTTTAGCCTTGTAAGTTAAAAGTGCTTTACATGATGATGTTAAAAGCTATTTGTCCCTTTACTGGGTTTGGGGGTTGTTAAAAGGGAATGAAGAATGCAAAATGGTTTATTGTTCAAACTGTCTGCTCTGATCCAACTCTGTACTGATAGTACCCTTCCAGTATGATATTGTGATGTTTCATACAATGCAGTGAACATAACCAACTTGTTACCTAAATAAAGAATTGATTAAAAAAACAGTGTGATATGTTACTATTGGGTATGATTTCCAAAACTCAAAATTCATTTTTGAACGTTATCTTAAACACTATATTTAGCATACTTGTGCATATTTTCAAACAAAACCATGTATATATATGAGTTATAACTCTAAAGAAGAGTTAACTAAACTGTGTAGGAAAATACTAATTAGCACCTTCTTTACTCCAAAAAGATTTTCTATACTACAGTCAAAAAAATCCTTTTTTAGGGAGTTAATGATTCTCAAAGTATAAATAATGCAAATAAATGAGTTAGCAGAAGAAAAACCCATATTTAGTGTTTACTTTTCTGAATTGTCTGATGTGGTTATTTTGGTCACAGGACCCATACACACTTTTTTTTTTTTCTTTTTTCCTTAAATTGCCAGAGGGCGCACTAGAGAGACAGAGCGATAGCACCCCCTAATAGGGCATGGTCATACCACAGTCCATTTTCCCTCCATTCTTTCTGTTGGGATTTTGGGTCCATGCACACACTTGTGTGTTTTTCCAGCTTCTGGGGTCAGGACTCAGACATGTAGGATCCTATTTCCTTCACCACTATGCAACAGGGCCAGCCCAATACTCTTAAAAATGGAATATCCCAAAGAACTTTTGCTTTTGTGGTTTATATATATATTGATATTACTATATTAGAAATTAAAACAAGTTTTACCTACTGTCTTAGTTCTTTTTTTTTTTTTTTTAAGAATTATTTTATTTAACTTTATTTATTTTAATTTGACTAGAGAGAGAAAGTGATCTGCCAGGTCCAGGACTCGAACCACCGTTGGCCATGTGGGAGTCTAGCACCCTTAACCACCACACCATCTGCTGGCCCTGGTCTTAATTAATTTTAAAATAACAAAACCATCACATGTTAACATAAATAACGTTTATTGAAAAATAATTATTTTCCAAATCCAGAAATGTTTAAGTGTGAAAAATGGTGCTGGATTTTATTTTTATATTCCCTTTCGTGTTGGGTTGGATTTTCTTACCTGCTTTTGCATTCGGTCTGCTGTAGTGTGGCTTGTTAGTTGAAGTATATGAAGAAATCTGGCCTCACACACATTTGGAGAGTTGGAAAAGAAAGGAATATTGTAATAGCTTCAGGTAATTGTGGGTGTCAGAACTTGACAACTGGTAGTTTCTTTTTTTTCTTTCTTTTTTTTTAGATTTTTATTTCCACTTATTATTTTTTAATTTGACCAGAGAGTGAAAGGGAAAATGAGAAAGCAAGCCGCTAGGTCTGGGACTTGAACTGTGGTCAGCCATGTGGGAATCCAGCGCCCTTAAACACCTCTCCACCTGCTGTCCCCACAACTAGTAGTTTCTTGAAGGTTTGTTGCAATAGTTGAAATCTGAAACCTTTTCAAGGGTTTCATACTCTTAAAATCAATTGGGCCTGTCTTGCAGTTTTTAATGGGTCTTTTACCTATACATGATTTGTAACAAGTTAGTCATTTGGAAAATGCAGGTTTGCTGAAATTTGCAGTTCTGAATATTGATGTATTATTAAGCCATGATTTAAAATGTTTTTTTTAAATATAAGTGATGTTGTCAGAAAGTCTTTTAAGAATTGGGAAGCTGTCAAGCTCATGATGATGGATACAAATTTTTCAAAATTCTAATTTACTTTTGAAAGGTGAAATCCTATCATTGGCAACAAATATTGTCAGTTGTTTTCCGCAAGTGACAGCCTTACTTCATTTATTTTAGAGAAAATCTCTGCTGAAAAACATAGTCTGTCAGTCATTCTTCAAAGGAAAAGCAGTGTTCCATGATGAGTGGCTAGTTCAGCTTAAGCACCCATCACTTCGGTATGCTGTAGTACCAGGACTTCCCATTATCCAGGAGTAGAGACTTAATAAAATTAATTTTCAGGCTGGCCCTGCAGTCTAGTGAGTTAAGAGAGCCAGATCTCATGTGGCAGACCATGGTTCGAATTCTGACCCCAGAGGCTGGAAAACACCTCCAAGTGTGTGCCCATACACTTCCAAAATTCCAGCAGGATGGAGAAGAGATTGCAGTGTGACCATACCCCATCAAGGTGCCCCCTTCTCCTCCCAATGAGGATATATGCCCTCTGGCAATTTAAAAAAATCTCTATTGCTTCATCAACAAAATTGTTCACTGAAACTGACTTTTCTACCATGTGTGCCAGTGGACCTACAACATGACAGCTGTTGAGTGCTACTGTTTGTATTTGTGCTCAAGTGGTTCTTTTGTACACCCAGTACCAAGGTCAATATGGTGAAAAAACTGTTAGAAAACTGTTAGGAAAATAGTTTTGACTTTATGAACAACCTTGAAGTTTCCTTGAGACTTTCAGAATTGCTGCCCTGGTTCTTTAGGTCAG